TCATATACATCAGTCAGTTAATCACGGGTAAAATGACCGAGTTTCAAAGGCGGGCTCACCTATCCTTACTATACAAGTTCGGTGATCGCACTATACCCGGCAACCGTTTGTTCAATTAAAATCACGACGCCGAACTGGGACCAAAAATTTTACAGTGATTGGGTCAAGTTTGTCAGTCGCTCATCCACGAAGACCAAAGTTGCTTCGTTCCAGGGCAGTCTATCCGTCACTCATTACTTCGCTTTCAAGATTTGCAGAAAATTTGCAAATGGAAGTTCTCGGATGCGTGTGTATAAAACTCTTGGATGTCGCCACAGCATTTGGTAGTGTCCTTTCGCCTACTTTGGATATGGCGCTTCACCACTTCGAATTTGGTACGACTTTCTGTGCATGGTAAATGAAAAATTTCTGCAAAGTAACATCAGTCTTATGGCTGCCCAAGGAGATCCGTTATCACCTGGTCTCTTTGATGTTATCATTGAGCCAAAAATGAACGATCTTCGCGCGAAGCTATCTGCAAAAGGCATACCTGTAGACTACACAGACATGCCCCATCTGTTACTAGCGTTGAAAGACGACTGCACCGAAATTTTGTTTGATCTCGACAATACCGATGAGTTCTTTTTTCTTTTATAAGCTTGCAGAACCACGAAGGCAAACTGAAGTCAAAGGTTGTCACCGTGGGAAACAGTACGGCTTCTTGGCGTTATACAAGTAGCAACTGTTACACCGGATAACGATACAACGTGGTTATAAAGAAGATACGAGCTCGGTGTACTCTTTGGAAATACCGTGCAAGAACGCTAGGAGGAATGATTGTCGTACTACAAAGTACCATCTTACCGGTGCTAAAGTACACAGCGAGTGATATCATGATATCTTTTTTATTCTGAAACAAATTGTCATTATAATACGCAAATTTGTTAACGCAAATGACACAAATGCTTCATCAGCTCACCACGGCAAATTTGATAAAGAACGGATATACACAAATGTTAATGAGGATGGTCTTGGGCTTACTACACCGAAAGCCTTCATGGACGCCATGCACTTAATTGTCTACGCGATGGCATCGCAGGCACCAATGCCACATCGAGCGAGCCTCGCTGGATGTCCCCGGCATCAACTCTCTTTTCCATGGCTTTACAACTATTAAGAGAAGCTTTCGAAATGTTATACTCTAGTATAAGGGAAGTTACGGGAACCACTGACCTAAGTTTCGGAGAAGCACATTGAAGTTTGGGCTGCTTTATATAGCTCATGCGACACAACTAGTTGAAAGTTGTTCGCGCAGACAATGCCGTTTTGAGACAACTTTCACTTAACGTTTGCGAAGATGAAGGCACCCTTACTCAGTGTTAGCTCGAAGACGATTGATAAGCTTACGGAGTTAGGCTTTAATCGACTTCAAGACAACTTCAATGGTACATTAACTACAACGGATATACTACGACTACTACTTAATGCGGATGTCTTCGCAAGGCAAAATCACTTCCTCGCTAAGTTAATGACACGATACGTAGGCTCAGCTTAATTATCCCGGTAGATTCTTTACACTACCAACCTTCACGATCAGACAAGATTGAAGCCGCTTGTCGTGCATGAAGTCTCGATGGACAACTTGTTGTTAATATGAAAAACGTTACTTTGTTTAGTTACTATTGAAGACACATAAATACCCAAATACCCCATACCTACCGTTGCGACGACTTGACTTTTTGCCCGACTTTACGCCTATCCCAAGTATGTCGACTGCGGAGGACACATGGGATCGTTACGCTCTTTCGGTTTGTTCGGATGTTAAATTTCGACTACAACATCCTGCACTGAGAGTATGATACAAGTTTAAATGGAGAACGGAAGTCAAAATGCCAACCGCCTGTATACATCGGTGTATCGACGTCGAAGATGCGAACACTTTTTTTGGAATTGTCATGTGAATGGAGGAATTACCTTAAGCTTTTCGAAGAGCTCATTGAAGGAGATTTCGATTGGACTTTGGTGATATTTGCAAATGTTTATCAACTTACGCCAACTGCAACGAAGCTCTACGGGGGGGTTGCTATACAAGGGTTCTTAACGTTATTTGAGGTTATGTGCCATATGGCTACATCGAAACGAAAAGCTGTACAGCTCTGAAGTAACAACTTTGGCGGGTTCCGTATGTAACCACGCTAGAGCTTAGATTAAAAAGTTGCACTTTTGTAAGCTTGCGGAAGTTGCTTTAAGGACAACAAAACTTCCGTTAACAACACTGATCGACACAATATCAAGCGCTTTAACACTACATTTAACGGGTACATCGGATACGGAAATGGACTTAATTATTTAAATCAACACAATCATTCAACTATGACCATAACTATGCCTACGACTATGACTATATCTTCGCTACAACTACGACTACAATAACAACTTTATGCAACCTAAAAATTTAAAGCTCTTTCGGGCTTTTATATGGTTTTGCGAAGTTAGTTTGACTTGAGCACATTGGTGTGCTATACTGTATTATGATGGGAGAGAATCAGTGTAGAACGCCGATTCAAATATCCGACTGGACCGAGATCCAGACCGCGATAGTAGTACTACCTTGCATCTTTTGGGAGTTTCGGGAACTTGAAACTACAGAAGTTTACCATCGCAATATGGACCTCAAGTAGTTCTTGGACCACAGTCCAGACCGGCACTTAACACCGATACACTCAATTGCGCGCACATCGACATCAAGGTCCCAATCCGTACCTTATCCACTCATAGGACGCTTTACAGCAGCCAGTATTGACTTCGCTTACAGAAGTCAAACGCATGAAGTAGAGCTTTGGGCTGGATATACCTTCAGCTGTGAGGAGTATCTTACTGCTTCGACACAGCAAATCTTCTCAATCTTCAGAGCACATCCTGTGCCATCCGACCAAGCCAACTATTTGATGTCTTCGAACTCGGATTGAAGACTATAACCCACATTTGGGGCTATTTGCTACTGATCACTGACATGGCCGCCCTCATGTTGACATGACCGCCCACATGTCTTGTATATAGGAACATGCATACTTTGCCGACTATTTTCTCTGCTGATTAGGAAAATTAAAAGTTATTTTTCGAAATTCCCTGAGAAGCTAAACAAAAATTTCGACATTTAACTTGTTTACCCATCGCAAAACACGGTTATTTTACCCTTATCTGACACCTTCAATGCATTGAATACTCCTAACTGTTTTGACAGTCGTGCGTTGTAGGCATTTGCACGACGCTGCAGAGTCTACCAGGCCTTGTGACAGCTTCACAATGTCCGGATATTAATTAACACTTACCACGCTGGGCATTGAGCACCAGCTACCCCAAAGAAATTCGACTTTTTCAGAGATGACTCCATTGAACTCGACCTCCACTGGGTACGTTAAAGCCCATATTTTTCAGGACGCCGCCATGAGCCTTTGATAATTTGACTTTTCTTTGTGCAAAATTGACGGAATACTAAATGTGGGGGCTGATCTTTTGTACCTTAAGCCGAAAGAAGGGGTCGAATAAGGATCTGATATTTTGTACAGCCACAGATACAACATCTGCACGTAACTCGGAGCTGCTTTACAGCCAAGGCTTACTCGTCGATATTAAACCCTCGTCAGCATAGCTGAGGCTCATCGCCTCTGGCTTACACGTTGATATTTTACCTCCCGTAACCCAACCGGCTTTCGCAGCACAAATGTTGTACACCACATTTATGCAACAACTACCGCTACATTGAAAGAGAAAGTGTATCTCGAACACGCTGGTAGCTCTTCACAGTGATTGTAATACGTACATTCCTCCAAAGGATCTACCACTATCGCGGCAATAAGAAAACAAAGCTCTTAAACATAGTGCACTCGCCCCCACAATTCAAGATGGGCTCACATGAAGTTCAAAGCCTCATGTACGCCTAATAAGGTGGTGTAGACACCCGCGACATGCGACGGTTCAAATCTTTCTATAATCAGAATGCTACTCCCACAGAGGTACTAGATGTTAGTGCTGATTTTTGCGTGTGGCTTCCTAACTTGGACACCGCAAGTGCGACGCGTTGGTTCAGAGCTTGGCCAAGTGGATGGCCATACAAGAGGTTTTATCCTTGAAAAATTAACAGACCAAACATGTAATAGTGACGGCGGAAGTTGGCTATATTTTCACCGATGCCTAGTTGTGATGCTGCGAGAAATGTCTCATCAACGCGCTTTCAAATCTGGTGAGCGACCTCAGGCAGACAATTATTCTTTCTGGGATCGCCGATTTAAGTATTAAGAGGCCAACGACAGACATGAGCTCATCTAGTGTATGTCTCATTGTTCTGAGGACAGGCAATCGATTTTCTCCTATATTTCATCATCCCAGAGAAAACAGTATCTCCACGGCGCGGTCGTCGGATTCACATCAGTGCTATCAGGCGTACCAGGTTGCCGTGCACGTCATCCAGAGGATGGTCTGCTTCGATGAGTACTTATATACAACGCACTGAAGACGCTTCTATCCGAAAGCCACTGAAGTGATTAGGTGATTTTGTATTTTCTATTCAAATTCACAATCAAAATCGATACATAAGCATTATTGAATTATCTGCATTACTTGACGAGAGGCTAACAGCTCACGTATCTCATGGACCACCACTTCACGGAGTCTCATCGTCATAGGTACCATCACATCGATCTCTAGGATTTTCCACAAAACCAATGTAAATTTTACACAGCTGTATAAAATTGTATTTTACAAATTACGTACCCTGTTATTGTCCGACTGAGACTGCTCTTATTTTGTTGCTCATATTTTTTCCAAAGTCTTGATGCTTTAAATACGCAAATTGTGATTTTTAAGCACCGCAATCACTCTGGGGGTAGTTAAAGGACGTCTATATTTGTTATTATAGACAGGAGACTTATCAATTTGCTTGGCT